CGCTGCGCGTGCCCGGGATCCCCTCCTCCCCGTTCCCGGGATCCCCGCCGTCCCATTCCCGGGATCCCCTCCTTCCCGTTCCCGGGATCCCCGCCGTCCCGTTCCCGGGATCCCCTCCTTCCCGTTCCCGGGATCCCCGCCGTCCCCTCTGGAGCAGCCGGAGCCTGTGCGGGCAGCGCTTCCCAGCAAAGACCCCCCCGCTTCGTGCACATGGGTTGTCACCCCGGTGGGGACCGGCCATGGGGGACCGGCCATCACCTTCCCCCCGTCCCGGGAAGGAGGGAAACCCTTCGCACCGGGTACGGCCCTGCCCCCTCCGAACGCCCCGTCTGTTTTTCCAGCACCTCCGTATGTAAAATCATCCAAGGGCCTCTGTTTTTCCAGCACCTCCATATGTAAAATCATCCGAGGGCTTGGTTTCCTTTCATAAGGGGGGCCGAGCGCTGGCACTTTGCACCCTCCCAGGCGCTGCAGGCAGAGCACAGAGGGCCAGACCTGCCCCAGCAGCCTCCCCCAAACCCACAGCCCTCACCTGCCCACCAAGAGCAGCTCCCGCTCGCCAGCCCCCGGCCTCAGCTTCCCCCAGATGTCCATGGTGAAGAGGGTGCTGCTGCTGTTGAATATGGAGGTCAGGGATGACATGAGAGCAGCCATCATCACCGCGATCATCAGACCCCGCAGCCCTGGGGATGAGAGGGACCGTCAGGGAGCGGCTGGGCTGGGGCCGAAGGGATGGGAACCCCGCGGTGCAGCAGCTCCCAGCACAGGTCGAGGCACCTTCTCCCACCCACTTACCACTGGGCATCAGCTCGACCACCAGCTTAGGGTAGGCGATGTTAGAACAGCCCACTGCGGCCCCACACACGCGGGAGCACTCCTCGGGGTCCACGCAGGCCACGGCATCTGGGGGACAAAGGCGGGTGACACATCAGGACCCCCTGTGGGTCCCTCAGGGGCCAAACCCAGCACCTGCTTTTTCCCCTCCACCACCCTCTCCTATCGGGCTGAATACTGGTCTGAACACTGGTCCCACACTACGGTCACAGTGCCCAGGCCTCGGCAGGAGAGCAGGAGGATGAGC